TAAAATTTCCGTTGAAAATATTTGTTTACATTTCTTAGTCTTTATGGTCTTTATTGAATTTATAAAATTCCATTTTTTTAAAATGGTCAGAAATTGTGTAATTACTGGTTGTAAAGGAAAGAAAACCAATAAAATACCTTTGTTTGAACTTCCAAAAAGCTCTGTACATAAAGATAAGTGGATTGAATTTCTTAAATTGCATAATATTGAATATTGCTGTGAAAAAAATATTTCTTGTGTATTCTTGAATTTATTTATAAACAGCTTAATTGTTTTACCTTATGTTCTGATCCTTCCTTTAACCAGAAATTCATCAATGCAGTAATTGCACATATTGAAGTCGATTTTGAACATTGTCAAGATACAATTGATAAATTATTTAAAGTTTTTGTTGAATTTAGAGTAAAATTACAATTTCAAAGTCGATTCGTACATAAAAGGAATAATTTTGCTTCAAAAAATAACTGAAATAAATATATTTTTATTAATTCTCTAACGATCATTTATTTTTTAAAAAATTTAATAGTTCGAAAAAGTTCGAAATTTTTCGAATTTCAGTTTGAATTTTTCGAATCTAACTGAAGTTTTCTTTGTTTGCATTCGTTGGATTAAGTTTAATTAAATAATACTTGAGATGTACTATCAGTCTGTAATCATCTAGTCGTGCCTTGATATCATCTATGATAAGTTTTTGTGGGATGTAGAAAGTCGTTTAAGGCACACGACTATGAAGATTTATTTTTCAAAAATTTAAATTCAGATCACTAGATCTGCTATGACGTGATACAAAAATTGCAAAAACTGAACAGCATATGGCTCAGATTAATTGCAAAAATCACCTCGATCTTTCCTGAAAGTCGTGCACAGCACACAGTAACCAGAATCGATTAAACTATAAGATTTACGGGACTTTTTTCAAAATAACATTCGTGTGTACTATATCATATCGTCTATATGCTTATTGCCCTTCATCATGCAAGCTTCTGTTATTTCCCATCAATCTAATTTCACGAGCTGATTCCTCTCATCTTAAAGAAGGGAATCTCTAAAGTGGACAGTAGTAAAAAAATAAGAGAAAAGAAGAAGCAAAGCGAATAGATAATGACACAATAGGCTTTCTATATCCATTCATTCAGCTCAATGTCTTACTAATCAGAGAATAAATATGCTTTGTGAGTGAGTAGTATGTTTTAATGGGGTCATTGAGATGTGATGTCATGCATGTGTTAGACTCAGTCTTATTGAGCGGCTTTATAGCTCCAGGAATTCTTCACTAAAGCACACACGGTCCTATGACATTTCCGCCCACACTCTCTTTAAAAATTTCCAACTAGCCCTAATATACATCAGCTAGTGATCAACCCCAAACATCCAAGTGGATGAGATAAAAGAGAAAAATAAATTATTGTAAAATAAACTACTTCTCCTCCTTAATAGATATACATTTTTATATTAATAGTTTCGTAGCGTGAGGCGAGATTTGCTCCATTTTTTTAGCATTCAAACTTTCATAATTGATCTAATTTGCGACACATTGCGAATGTTTCTGTTATGTTTTCATTATGCTGTTGAAATCTATCTTGTACTTCTATGGAACAGGCGACGCCATTGAATTTGCAAGATTACCATAACAAATTGACTCTCGAAAAAAAAAGGCAGCAGCATTGCAATATCGGAGTCAAAATTCAATTTTTCATACTTGCTGGTAAATTTTCAATACCGTTTTTATTAAATCAACCAAATAAGCATAAAGTTTGTAATAAGAAACAGCCACAACAGAGTCGCTGAGTGTGGCAAGAAGAAAACAAATTGGAAAATTGAAATTATAAGCTGAAAAACGTCTTTTAATTCAGTTTTTTTTTTGTTGTGCAAATCAAGCATAATGTGCATGAAAAAAGAGAATCAATTGGAGAAAAGGAGTTGAATTGACATAAAAAGCTTCTTTTTCCAAGACATAAATACAGCAATAAATTTTTGCACACACAAACAGAAAATGTAAAGTTTTGTGTGTTAATTACATTGCTTTTTGCTGTATATACTCCTTTCTGCCATAAACTCATGGCTTATACTCAAACACGGTTCACCTCCAAGTGCTGCTTTTTATATATGCTAATATCTTATAATATATGACGAGGCAGGCATGGGCGTAGTCAGTGTGTCTTTCTCAATATATTATTCTCTGTATAATAAGTCAATAAATGTGTAGCTTGTAGGAATTAGATAACGGATAATTTAATTTTGAATATTTCTAGCTTATTCAGCTGTTGCTCTTTGTTTATTAATCAAATTTTCTAAGAATTTTGTTTATTTTTCTGACGAATTTATGTTATTTATTTATCTTTACGTCCAATCTAAGTAGTATAAAATGATTTTCTCAGATTAGGATGTAATTCAGCTGTTTACATTGATTGTATACATTGAGTCTAATAAAATTAACTTTGAGTCAGACCTTTCCATGTTACTTTTAATTTTTAAAACTTGCTGAGAACATGAGTTTATTATTGTTGTGGTGTTGGTTAACTTGCGGTGTTGGATTTGCACCTGCAGATTAAAGAGTTGTCTAAAACTGCATTGTTGTTTTCAAGAAAATAACAATTCTTTGAAAATTCAACTTTTTGAAAGTTTTGGCGGGAAATTTTCCACTTCGACTTTTTGTTTTCTAATTTCTTGCTCAAACCACAACTAAACTACATTTAAATTAAACAAATCCATAAATTAGGAGTGAGCAATGAGATTTATGCTAGATTCTTGAGATAAACTTATTGCAAAATAGTAAAATTTTAAGTTTTGAAATTTTTGTAAACAAAAATTAATTTAACTTTCAGTAAAATTGATAAATTATCAAATTTATGCTGTTTAGTCTACAAGTCTAATAAATTTATAGAGTGTTGCAAGTTCTTCAACCTAAATTCAACTGTTTACATCCAATAACCAATTAAAGTTTTACCATAAATCAAACCGAACTCTTAAGAAGTTCTGAAAAAGTTTGTTTAAAAAATTGTCAAAACTCCCCATGAAGTAATCTTGACCCACTCGTACTTCTAATGTAAAATAAATATATGTCAAAAATTCTCAGTATGCTCATATCAATATAGGGCCTGCTTCCTCAATAGATAAAAATATAAACAAATCTCAATACTTTCTTTCCTTCGTGCTGTATTACGTCAATCTAAAAAAAGAGCGATGATTTTGGAGCATGTAAAATGGAATTGTAAAAGTAGGAAAAAATAGTAAAATTTAAAGCTATTAGAACTTCATTTCACGGTTTGTAATTACACAAGCAAGCACAAGCACAGCAGCTATATCGTGCAATAAGTAGATATGAAGTGAAGAAAGCAATAGTCGAAATGTAAACAAAACGGCACTGGGTCCATTTACGCTAATACACTTTCATTATGCACGATGAATACAACAAAAAAAAACTGAGAACCGATGTAGCGTATGCATAAGCAAGCAAAAAAGCAAGCACAAAAAGCAATAAAAGTAATAAGAAGAAAATTTTACTATAGAGTAAAAAAAATTTAAAAACCAGTTTTTTTTCTGTTTCTCTGCTTCTCTTTTTTCAATATCGCGAATTGAATATAAACACAAGACTTAAGAAAATACAAAAAAAAGAAGCAGAGAAAAAAGATCAGCGGTGTAAAAAAAATCGAGCGTGTCTTTGTACGATGGATATATAATGAAAACATACGGCAGCAAGCATCAACTGGGTCTCTTGTCGTACCACAGCAGTATAATGGTTAAGAAGAAACCAGTTTAGACGGGGTCACACGTGACTGATAAGTCAAAGCGCATTTACAATTTCTAAGCTTTATAATTTTACGTACGTATTTTTACGTAACGAAAATTTTACGTAACCCACTTTAAAAAGTTTTTTGGCTTTTTTAACTTGAGGAAATGACTAATCTTGAAGATCTTTTGCAGGCTGCTTATTCAGCATGGCAAAAGTCGTTCAAGCAGAAAACCGTGTCCAAAAAACTTAATTAAAAAGAATTAAGAAGCAAACAGACTGACAGACGAGCAATAGCGTCATTTCCTCCAAGTTAAATGCTTCAAAAGAAGTCTTATATTACTTCAATCCATGTGGAGACCATGAAACGAAAAAGAAATATGAAAAAATAAGACTCAGTTGTGTCTGTATATGATATTCATAAAAGACAACATGATGTAGGTGCGTTTGTGTTCAGTATATCCATTCTCTTTTGTTGATGTTTTAGTTCCATGCAAATTTTCTTATGTCTCACTGGACAACCAAGATGTTACTTTAAATTATACATCTGACTGACCCGAAACATGTTCAACAATCGCATTACATTTCGTTTTTGTAATGAAATGGAATTTTAATTTGTGTATGAAAAAAGAACTCGAAAGAATTTTACACGTAGAACTGTAACTTAATGTGACATGATACACAAATTCCATGTTAGCAAATTATCATTAAATCATAGTTCATTGCAAACTTTTTGAGAACGACGATGACCTAGAAAAGTGTTTGAAGTTATTTTAACGAATTCTTTTGGTTCTGTTAAAATTTTTTTGAGGTTAAAATTAGAAATTTGTTTAGATTAGAAGTTAAATTTTGAGGTTAGAACTGCAAAACGTTCACTTTGCATTTTTTTTCAACAAAAAGTCGTTCAGTGTGCAAAGTTTTTCTTACAAAATTAATTTTCGAATTCAAAATTTTCGTTAAAAATTTAACTAAAGTAAAAGAAACATTAAGAAATTAATTCACGATCAAATAACTTGATACTTGTAAAGCATTGCATTCTTAATAATCACATGCCTTCAAAACTAATTAAAATCCAAAAAAGAACCCAATTAAAAATTCAAAAAATAAACAACCGTTAATTAAAATCCCATAAAAAATTCCAAAAGTCAAATGCCATCAAAATGAGAAGCCAATTCAAGAGCAGTGGAACTAGAAAAATTTCTTACTCGTGATCTTATCTGAATCTACTTTTAAAAATCTACAAAAAAAAACTTCAAACTTCAATACTCACAAAGAGTCCAACGCCATTTTTTCTTCTTCTAGCTCTTCGTTTCTTATTTCTTCTTTGCTTTGCTTCTTCTCTTATTTCTTCGTCTTCTTGTTGATCGTGGCAGCACTTCTTCATGGGCGAGTTGTGTTCTTAGCATAAAAAAAATGAAATGAAAATATAAATAAAGATCGATTGTTGTTTTAAACCACTTTTTTGTAATATTCTGCTTCTCCTTTATATCCATGAGTAAGAACAAAACTACAAAAAAAAAGATGGAATTGGATAATTTTATGGCTTTATAGTCCTTTCCACTTTAGTCTTTAAATTGTATGACTTGCTTCCCTTTTTCATTACTTATCGTTATTATGGATCTCTTTTTTGCTTTAGTTTCTTGTTTTTTTGTAAGTTAGGCTGACTCATTTCTTTCCTACTACTTCTACTTACATATTAATGCAGCTCATTGTATGTATTTGTGGATATTATTATTATTTATGTGTGTTTTAATAAAAAAAAAAAGCTGTTTTTCCGCATCTGATTAAATTCCCATTAGAAATACAAAAACACAGCTAGCTTGAATCATCTCTTGGCTATTGCATATTCATAAGAGCTTGAAGGAATTACATTAATTAATTGTGATTGATTCATTTTGTAATTACTGCAATTAATGAAATCAAAATACAAATCTCAACTCTTCAATCATGTCCTTAATTCAAATTTTAAAATTTAATTTCTACAAAACCGTCACAATTCAAATCTTAAAATTTGGATTAAATTCATATCCCAAAAATTCGTTAACATTCAAATTCTACAAAACCGTCAATATTCAAATTCTACAAAAAACGTTAAAAATTGAAAACCTTTTAAGTTTCAATTTACAATTAAGTTAAAGTTCTCTAGAATTAAACAGTCATAAGTGATTCAAGGAATTGCTTTAATTCCTTCTGATTGATTCATTTGCCAATAATAATAATTAATTAAAGATTTTTCCACATGACGATCAATTTTTCACATACAATAAAATCAAAAGTCGAGAGAAACAAGCTCACTGTAAAATAATGATCTGAGTAATCAGAGAAAAACAATAAATCAGTTGAATATCTCGAACAAAAACATAAAGACGTGTTTCATTGAAAAATCAAAAATAAAACATGGCGCAGTCGTATTTAAGTATTGAAAAGTTCAATTTTGAAGCTTCGACGTTAGAAATTGAATGGAAACGATTTTCAAAAGAATTCAACTCATATTTGGTAATCAACCAACTTGATGAGAAATCCGACAACATCAAACTCAATTTATTAACACTATTGATGGGATATAAGTCAGTGGATATCATCAAGAATCTGCAATTAACAGATCCAGAGAAGCAGAACTACGAAAAAGTGTTTGAGGCTCTCGAGAATCATTTTTTACCGTTATCAAATTTTTTAATTGAACGAATGAAATTACGTGGTCGAATTCAACAAGAAGACGAATCTGTCGACAAGTTCATTAGTGACGTTCAAACCCAAGCCGATAGCTGTGCATTTAATGAGTTCAAAGAAGAAGCCATTCGTGATCAAATAATTTTCGGTCTGCATAACAACAATTTGAGAGAAAAGCTCATTTTATCTGAAGAAAAGTCATTACGTACGTTGATTAGCAAAATCAAAATTTTCTACTACAATCAACAACAATTGAATCAACTAGCATCAGACAGTGTTAAAGCGAATCAAATAGCAGCAGTTGACCAACGTGTTCCTCACAAACCGACGTCATATAAACGTGAAAGTTCTCAAATTAAGAGCAAAAAATTTGAGAATTCAATAAGCAAAAAGAAGAAGGAGAAGGTCTGTGCAGATGATGAACGCAAAAGCAGTGAGTCTAATGTAGTAATCAATTGTGATGAACTAAAAGAACATGCAATAGGCAATGTTTGGAGTAAAAAATTACTCGTGCATGATAAAATGATCAATTTTAAGTTGGATACTGGATCGCAGGTTAATACTTTAAGCATAAATATGTTCAAAAGTTTAGGAAAGAAATTTAAGATTGAGAAAAGTAATTTAAAATTACAAGGATATTTTGGTGAAATCAATCACCCTTTAGGGAAGACGATTCTTCCAATTAATTTCAATAATAATGTTTACCTTGAAGAATTCATAATCATTGATAAACATACGGTACCTTTATTAGGTTTAGAGACATGTGTAAATCTAAAACTTATATCTCGTATAGATTCCTTGCAATTAAATCAAATGTTGTGTTCAGAACAGCAAAAGAATAAGTTTGTAGATTTTTATAAAAAAGCTTTTACAGGTCTAGGCAAGTTTAATAGACCTCTTAAATTGAAATTAAACGATAATGCAATTCCGGTGGCAAATCAGAATCGTCGAATTCCATTCAAGTTGAAGAATAAGCTTCAGAATAAATTAAATGAAATGGAAAAGATAGGAATTATTTCACGTGTCAATGAACAACGTGAATGGATTAATAGTATAGTAATTGTTGAAAAAGGAGACAAAATTAGAATTTGTATTGATCCAAAACATTTGAATCAAGCATTAAATAAGTTTCATTTTCCGATTCCATCCCTTGATGAATTAAAGCAAGATTTGAAAGATTCTCAATACTTTACGGTTTTAGACCTCAAGGATGGTTTTTGGCACATAGAGTTGGACGAAGAATCCAAAAAATTGTGCACGTTTAGTTCTCCTTTTGGCTTGTGGCAATTTAATAGAATGCCTTTTGGTATAAACATTGCATCAGAAATCTTTCAAAAGTACATGACGGATACTTTTGGCGATTTACCTGGAGTCAAATTTTATATTGACGATATTATTGTTACTGGTAAAACGCTCAGAGAACATGATGAGAATTTAGGAAGATTAATGGTCAGGGCATTAAAGTCTGGTGTGAAATTCAATCAGAAGAAATTACAATTCACACAAAGTTCAGTAAAATTCTTTGGCCATATCTTTTCTAAGAATAAAGTAGATGTTGATCCAGAAAGGATTTCAGCAATTAATAGTATTCCAAATCCTAAAAATCTGGAAGACGTACAAAAGTTTTTAGGAATAGTTAATTATATAAGGGATTTCATTCCCAATTTACCTTCTTTAACAGTCAATATACGTAATTTGTTAAAGAAGGATAGTGAATTTTTATGGCTTGATAATCATCAAGCTGAGTTTGACAGCATTAAAGAAGTAATAAGAAACGTCACCTCATGTACTACATTTGATGAAAATATGCCAATAATTTTAGAAACCGATGCCTCGTCATACGGTTTAGGTGCATGTTTAAAACAAGGAGATAAAATTATTAGCTTTGCTTCACGTTGTCTTTCTGAAACAGAAAAGGAGTACGGTCAGATTGAAAAAGAATTTTTGGCCGTTTTCTTTGCGTGCAAAAAGTTTCACAATTATATTTATGGTAGGAAAGTTACAATAATATCTGACCATCGTCCTTTAGAAAGCATAATTAATAAAGATATTAGTAAGATAGGATCAAAACGCTTGCAGCGTATTCGATTAAAGTTACACAAATACGATTTAGATTTGAAGTACAAGCCCGGTAAAAGCATTCCTGTAGCAGATTACTTATCTCGATACGTTTCAAATGATTTGATAGCTGTAGATTTTGAAGAGAATTTCATGAAACAAATGATTCATTCAGTAAATATTAGTGATGATAAACTAAAAATCTATCAAGCTGAGACAGATAAAGATAAAGAATGCTCGTTGTTAAAGAAATACTTTGCTGAGGGCTGGCCGTCAGACAAATCAAAAGTACCTGATGAAATAAAATTCTTTTATAATTTGCGAAATGAAATTTATGTTTCGGATGATTTAGTATTTTATCAGGATAGAATAATAGTTCCCAAATCATTGAGAGAAAATGTTCTTAAAGATCTTCATGAAGGTCACATGGGAATTACTAAAACCTTACGTTTCGCCAAAGAATCAGTTTATTGGCCTTCACTAAATGTAAGTATAGAGAATTTAATTAAGAGTTGCGAAGAGTGCAACAAGTTTCAGAAATCGAATAGAAAGGAACCAATAATTCAACACGAGATTCCTTTTCGATCATTTGAGAAAGTCGGATGTGACATCCTTGAATACAGTGGAAAGAGTTATCTTGTTGTTATTGATTACTTTTCAAAATGGATTTCGTGTAAATATTTAAGTTCGAAGAATTCGAACGCTGTAATTTCGAAATACATTGAGATTTTTACAGAACACGGCTTTCCAAAGACTATTATTGCAGACAACATGCCGTTTAATTCATCTGAATGTAGAAGTTTTGCCCAGGAGTGGGATATTAAAATAGTCACTTCAAGTCCTCGTTATGCACAGTCGAATGGTCTTGCAGAGAAAGCTGTAGGAATAGTTAAAAATATGATGAAGAAATGCGATAATTTCAATAAAGTTTTAATAGCAATTTATAATTACAATAATATTCCGTTAACGGATATTGACTTGTCTCCTAGTCAATTGCTTAATAATAGAAGAATGAGAACTAAAATTATTATGAAAGATAGCTTGCTTGAACCAAAGTTAAATCACAATTTAGGTGAAAAATTCGAAAAGAAGCAAACTAAAACCAAAGTTTATTACAATCGAAATTCATATAAACGTAATGAGTTCGATTTAAATCAGAAGGTGTGGGTACAATTGCCTGATAACACTTGGTCTAAAGGATCAATAGTTAAGAAATGTTCAGAGCCTAGATCATATGAGATTTGTATGGATAATAATAGGGTTATTAGACGAAACTCTAAATTCATTCGACCTGATAGGTCAACAGTATCCAATCAAATTGATCAAAAGAAATGCAATGAGTCTAGTCGATACAGAATCAATCTCGATAACTTCTTCGCTGACAACTCACTGCATGAACCTCCTCTGAATTCTAATGCAAATGCCGCATCTCCCGTTCATCACCAACCAACTGCAACCTCAACAGAGAGTAATTCGAACCAACAACCGTTCCGACGATCATCAAGAATTCCTAAACCAGTACAAAGATATGGGAATTGATAAGAGAAGGGAGATGTAAAATAATGATCTGAGTAATCAGAGAAAAACAATAAATCAGTTGAATATCTCGAACAAAAACATAAAGACGTGTTTCGTCTATTTCTTTGTGAATAACAAACAAGGCATCTCCACCTTTTAAAA